GTTGGCAAGGATCTTCAGTCTGACTGTAGTGCTTTGATGTTGTTTGCTCTCAGTAGCGAAAATAACCAAGGATAAAATGAAAAACAAATAGGGGACAAAGCCTTATACTACTACTCAGAGATCTCACCTCTTCCCTATGTCTCTAAATATTGTTTCCCATTGTAGAAATTTCCTGGGACCTGTCAGCTACCATAGAAATGAAATACCATTGCAGAAGTACTGTCTGAGTGAGTTTCATTTTTTGTTTTGTTCAATTCTTGACATGCCTGATATATTTCAGCTGTCTTCTGGGGCAGGAAGGGGGGATGTATTCAGTACATTAGGTGGGAGACTTCTGAGAAGTTTGTAAGACTTTGGCTTCCCTTATTTCTGAATGTTCAACCACAGAAGCCTAACATCTATTTCTCTAGACTTCACTGTGCCCGTCTTTGTGTATGTGTATATGTGTGTTGTGTGTCTGTGTATAAAGGGGTTTTGGATATGGGTGTAGATGTCATATTTCTCTCTCATTGAGCGTGGGCTTTGCTATGTTGACAGTTGACAACCCCTTATTGGTTTCTTTGTTGTTTTCCAGTAAATGAGGTAGCCTTTAAGATGTTTGTCTTGCTGGAATTCAGGAGTTACAGGACTCTTTTATTGTGGTGGTGGTGGTGGTGGTCCCTTTCCACTTACACTTCTGTGCCATGTTAGGTGAAGGAATAAGCAATTGATGACAATTTCAATAGAAGAATGTCAGAAGTGGACATGAGTTTGGACTTTTTCCTGAAAGCAGATGTTCTCAGTTCAAGAAATGGTAGCAATTGGGCAATTAATAGATTTCATACAAAAACGCATGGTAGAAACAGACCTGAGACACTACTTCCTGTGTAAAGCAGGGAGAATTTTGGGTTCCTAGAGAGGGTTATTCCAGAATTTAGCCTGCTAGACAGGAAAAGGAGATTTCATAGGCAGTGAAAGCCTTGGAATTTGCTTCAAATGTGATCCTCAAATCAAGAGTACAAGGATCAGACTTTTCAGAGAAAAAAGAGGAAATTTTGAGCAGCATTACTTATTGGGGAAAGGAAATATCATACATGTAGCCCCTACAGCTGGAGGAGCAATGAATGAGACCTGGGCCTAGACAAGCCACACAATTACAGCGACAGGTTTGGACATGCAGGTCCATGGGGAGGTCAGTTCCATGGGGGTGTTTGAATCTGTTACATTTTTCCTGTATTTGCTCACGTGTCTTATGAGCTTTCTTGAGTGCCTTCTGTGTTTTCTTTATCTGTACCATATTATCCTGTAACATCTTTGTAATTTCTGTGGGAAGAAATCAAAGCTGTGGTATATTGCATGAATTTATTACCTTGAATACCTTACATAGGAACTACGAACTTTGTTCATCCACATTCAGAAATGCTAGAGAGAAACTATGTCAAAATTACATTTGGAGTCTGTTGTGGACTACGCAAAAAAAGGGGGTAACAGAAAGAAACTAAGTTTCTTTTGGTCATGTTCCAGAATTGGATCTGGTTTTTTTGTGTGTCAAGAATTTTCAGTGGACCTTGAATCATGGGTGACATTAGCATTGAAGTCACCAAAGATCTATTTTTGGTTGACTTGTTTTGGCAGAAGTGGCCAAATTCTTCATATAATTCTCTACTTCATGCTATGTAATAGATGTGGCCATATATATTTTAATTATCTTTATGGTGTTTTCCCCCTCTGGCTCATCATAATTTCTATAAAAAGAGATTACCAAGTATTCCATGAGATAGTGTTACTTGTAACTTTTGAGCACATGATAACCAACTCCATCAACTCATTTATTTATCTTTCCAGGAGAACTTGTGAAATACCCTTCCATTTATTTTCAATGTCTTTAACTCTTTAAAAAATGAAGTAAAATGAAGTAACAACAAAGAATACATTGGCTATGCTTTACAATATGTACCTCATTCTTATAGAACAAATCCAATAGTACGTGTTTCTTAAGCAGGTACTGCTTAAGTGAAGTGAATAGCAAGAGAAAAATAGGCTGGATTGTCTTTGGGAAGTCACATGATTCTTTTAATAAACTCAAATACCTTCTTGGAACATCTCCTGTGTCTTTTTGGTTTTTAAACACCATGATTCTTATTGTAACAGGCAGCGTTACACATTGAAAAGGGAGTTGGTCTTGGAGCCAGGAAGAATTAGGTTCAAGTCCTACCACTGATGAATACTAGCTGGTGACCTTAGGTAAGGGATTAACCTCTTAGTGCTCTAGACTATTCACTAAGACAATTTGGGGGCAAGGGCAAATTGTTTATCTCTATTGGGAGGGTAAATATCCACACTAGGATTTTCCTAAAATGATAACAACAACAACCACATCTAGAATTCATATAGTATTTTAAGGTTTGTAACATGCTTTATGTATATCATCTCATTTGATTCTTACAACAACCCCTTGAGGTAGGTGCTATTATCTCCATTTTATAGATGAGGAAACTGAGACTAAGTGGCTAAGTGCCTTGTGCAAGGTAAGACAAAATTCAAATCTTGTTGACTCTAAGTTCAGTACTCTATCCACTGTACCACCCTAGCTGTCTCAAACTAGTTTAAAAATCTTTTGATGATATTATGTGGATATAAACTATGGAATTCTATTGTCTCCAAAGAATTTAATTTGATAATTAGCTAAAGTGCGACAGAGATTTGCATGGCAGCCATGTGGTGCATAGTGGCATATAGTGGAACCTGCACAGACCTGTGCTTGGCTGACAGTTTTTGAGATTCTAGGTTCACCATCCTTTCATAATGGGGTATAGAAATTGTATTTTTGAGGAGACTCTTGTCTCCGCAAAACATAAGACACAGAAAATTCACAAATAATAGGTGAGTAGGATCAAGTAGCATACTGACCTTATCAATATTAATCATGTTATTGTCTTTGAAATTAGGCAAAACTTACTTCACAAACCAGCATTGTACTAGTACCTTCATATTTGTGAATTAGCCCTTCCCCAATGGATTTATAATATAAAAAAGTAATAAAGTAAATAAGGAAATGGAGTAAATACTGAAAAGAATTATATTAACTTTTAATCATCAGTTCTACAATATGAGCCTGCATTTTGGGGACCCATGAACAGATATGGAAAGTTTTCATGACCAGCATCAATTCGGCAACAAAGAATTCTCTATATAATGAGTGAGATAGTTATTTTACATTGCCTTCCTCAGAAAGGTAAGAGAGTAACAGCAAGTGTGATATAGTAGAGTATGTACTTGTTTAGATTACTTCAATACCTTCGAAGATCTGTGATTTTATCAATGTGAGTGCTCTTTCCACTATGAAGCATAGATTCCATGCCTACCTAGATAATCTTCATACTTTGTTGTGGCCACGTAAATTTATTACCTTGTACATAATCTTCTAGAGATGACCATCTCTGAGTTTAGCTTCACCATAACTGGTCCTCAGAGAACTAAGGCCACATTACTCAAGAAGCCTTATTCCCAGGAGCACAAAAACTAAATCACTTAGTAAATATTTCCTTGTAAGAAAAACTGTTCCAATGGTTAGAGTCATATAAATATAAAAAGACCATTTCTGGATGTAATGGGTTCCCCTTCCCTAGAGGTTTTTAAGAAAAAGATATATAATCACTTGTTAGTATGTTATACAAAGTATTCTTGTTCAGATATTGGTTAGACTAGAGGGCCTCCTAATTTCCATTCTAACTCTGTGATTCTCTAGTGGGCCTATGACAATATTTTGACTAATACTTTTTTTGCTTGCTAAAAACTATAACAAAATCTCTTTACATATATATGTATGCACATATATAATATATTATTTATGATATATGTACATATTATAGATCCAGCACAATGTAGTACATCTATGTCAAAGTCACTATTTTTCCATAAACTGAAAAAAATAACATCAGAGATGAACTTGATATTTTTTCCATTACAAAATAAGATGTATTTGTAAACATGCATCTACCAAATGATATATAAAACAGAAGTACCAAAGATAGGCTCTAACAGGCTATTTCTAGTTCAATATTAGAAGCCTTTCCAACTTGGTAGGCCTTAGCTTATGCCTAATGACATGGCTTTTAAAAAAGAACATAGGGGGCAGCTACTTGGCACAGTGGATAGAGCACCAGCCCTGAAGTCAGGAGAACCTGAGTTCAAATCTGGCCTCAGACCAAACACTTGACACTTACTAGCTGTGTAACCCTGGGCAAGTCACTTAACCCCAATTGCCTAAAAAAAAAAAAAAACCAAACATAACATTACCTTGATTTTATTATTATTCATTAGAGAAGAGCTTTAATGGAGACATTATTTAAAAAATATAAAAAAAATGTCAGATGTGATTTCTATGTGCTCTGGAAATAGTGACATAGTTAAAAAGCAAGATTAAGAGTTAAAGGTTTGAAGAAAAGAGCTTTAATTTTTCTATTTACTGAATCTTCATAGATTATTTTAGAATAAAAAGCAATATAAAACAATGGCTTTGAAAATACACATATGCTAAAATGATTCACTTAAAATAAAGAAAAAAATAACTTAGACCTTGGTCATGTATATTCATCTTTGGAACTGCACCTTTCATATTAGTAGCTAACACAGTAACTAAAGGTATAAGAAGAAGAGATAAGCCCCTATAAAAGTATTACAACTTTTAAAAAATTAATTATTGCCAAATGTTAGAGAAAATTCTAAAGACAAAGCGGGGAAATAAGGTGAATAAAAATAATTGCAAAACAGGAAGCTAATGTTCTTGAATTTTCCCTATCATGTTTGAGAGCAGAGCTGGTTTTTGGGGAGGCAACATAAGGAATAACATGGTTAATGGAGGTGAAGTTGTCTTATGTTGCCTTTCTGGAGGCGGTCTCAAGTTTGTGCTTCAGGAGCTCAACAAGAGCCTCATCTGACATCTGGCTTCTAAAAACAAATATTGATTGCTTCACAAACCACAAAACATATTTAGCTATCCAGCAGTTGAAAGTCCTCACCATCCTCTTTGGTGCGAGTGAATATCTGTTCGCTTCTGACCCCATCTCCAGCTCTGGTAAATGCCAACACCTGAATGCTGTAGTTGGTATATTTCTCTAGCCCATCTAGCTCCAGGGAAGGCTGTGTAGTAGTAACATTTTTAATCTCTCCCAGCTCTGGGGAAGAAGAAAAACAAAACACAATCATGCATGCTATTGTTACTGGCAACACTATTTTTGCCCTTCTTTGTACTTACTGTCTAGTTGTATAGAGAATATATCCACCTGTCACACACTTAAATTACATAGAAGGGGTAATGCACATTCATTAGATAATGATGAGTGCCATGTAGCAATTTGGAAAAGAGAATTCGCATACCAATTGCCTCAGAACACCTGGCAGAAAAAAATGGCCATAAAAAATAGAGCATTGATTTCAAAGTTGAGTGTTAACAAACCAATTTCAATACAATATTCTATGCTTGGACCATATCTCTGTTGTAATTGCCTGAGGGGACAATAAACAGTTATGGTTCAAATGGAATTGGTATTGCCACAATACATTAGTTTTTCATTTTAAAAGTAATTTTATAGGTGTCTCTTTATGTCATTGAAATTCCTCCATTATCTATCCCTGCTAACCACCCCAGAGAGCCATCTCATATAATAAACAGTATTTTTAAAAAAAGATACAGAATGAAAAAGAAAGGGAAAAAAGCCAGTATAACTTATCAATACTTCAAGAAAGTCTGAAAATATGTTGAATATACAATTTTGGAACGCCCAAGTGTGCAAAGAAGGAAGAGGGTGTCTTCTTTGTAACCATGCTTGTTCTTTATAATTTTGCAATATTCACTTTTGATTTTTTATGTATGTGGTTGTTTTTTTTAATTTCCATTTAGTCACTGCATATATATGTGTGTGTATACACACACACACACACACACATTATATATGGTTTTCTTTGCTCTATTTACTTCAGTCTTCATCTGTTCATGTAATATTTCCATGCATCTTTGTATTCCTCACATTCATCATGTTTATATGTAATATTTTATTTTCCCCCAATTACATGTTAAAAATTTTACATTTATTATTTCTTACATCATAATATTTCTTGTTTGTTTAGCCATTCCCCAATCCATTTGAGAGGCTGTAGCTTCCAATTATTTGTTAACACAAGAAGTAGTGCTATATATATTTTGGTGTCCGTGGGTACTTTCTACTTATCAGTTGCTTCCTTGGGTTAAGGCTTAGTTGTTGAATCATTAGGTCTAAGGGTATTGTTTTAGCCACTTCATTTGTTTAATTCTAAATTGCCTTCTAAAATGGTTACACTGATCCACAACTTTGCCAACAATGTATCAGTTTACCTTTCTTCCCACAACCTGTCTAACACTGATTATTCCCATCTTTTGTCAAATTGAGTTTAAAATGAGAAGTTGTGATGTGAAACCTCAGGATTGTTTTGATTTACATTTCTCTTACTATTACTAATTTGGAACATTTCTGCATGTGATTTTATGTGTGTATATACACATATGTGTGTGTATATACATATATATATGCATGTGTGTTAATTGCTTATATATCTTAGATACTAAACTCTTATCAGAGAAATCTGATACAAAGTTTTCCCCCCATTCAATCACTTCTTTCTTATCCTTGGTATATTATTTTTGTGCAGAAAATTTCAGTTTCAGATAATCAAAGACATATATTTCATCTTTTGTAATTCTATCCTGTTTGATTAAGAAGGTACCTCCTACCCATAGCTGTAAGAGATGTATGATCTACTTGCTCCAATGCATCTTTTAAAAATATGAATCTTCAAAGGGTTCATCATTTAATATCTCACCACTGGACCCAGATGGCTGCAGAGGAGAAAGTGAGGCTAGTGACCTTGTACAGCCTTGTCTTACTTAAATTCAATTCACCTGCAAGTCATGGCATCACCTCCCTGATGTCATGGTCCTCTTTGAGAATGAAGGACAAACAACAACAACAAAGGCTTAGAAATGTACTCATTATGAAGCTTCTACAAGTTCTTTATTAAATCTGCTTGAAACCTATTTTAAAGCACCCATCTTCTTTTAAATTTTTGTGACTTTTAAAGCCACAAGGTCACTTGATAAACACTGGTTACCAAAAGAGACTTACTTAGCTTAAATTGATGAAATGACAAGGAGTCTGAAATTTTGTTTTAACAAAAATGCTTCACTTTCAGAACTATTGTAAAAGCCATTTGTACTCAAAGTTAGAACATAAAAATATCTTCCTCTATGCTACGTTATCTTATGTAATTTAAGAAAAGTGAAAGTGATATACAATTCAAGCACTTTAAAAAAGACTGGAAATTAAATGTTTTCTATTATTTATTATTTGAATCAGTCTTTTCACTAACATATGGATATGTGATGTATATGGCCCATTCTATAAGATCCTTTCTTCATTACTTCAAGGACCATGATTTCACTGGTATAGAAACTCCCTCTGCTGAAGTTTTTCAGGGTGACTGTGAAAGGGTAAGTGTTCCAAGGACTCAAATGAAGAGTATAATGTAGAGTTGAACCAGTTCAACAAGAGTTGGATGGGTGATGGAGATGGATGTAGAATGTAGTAAGTGCAGATGGCCTGAGAAAGAACTGAGAAATAGAGAGATTTGAGGTAATGGTGAGAAAGAACAGGTTTGAGAGTTGCAAGGCAGAGATAAAAGTGAAATGACAGTAGATTATGATCAGATAAAGAAATTTTGGGGTTCATGAACACAAAAGTGGTATGTTTGTTGGTAATGGCAAGATCTAAGTCACAATAATCTCTGTGCATGGCTAAGGAAGGGTGGTCATCAGAAATATGAGAAAATAGGAAATGAGCATTTTAGGGGGGAGTTTCTATATGTTTTGATGTCCTCTGGTTTGAAGACAGGAATTGGGGAGTACAGAAAAACTGTAAGTCTGACACTGAAATCATTGAAGAGGGAAAGAGAGTGTCCTGGAGATCAACAGATAAGAGTTACTAGAACCTTAATTGGGTGATAAATATAGATCGACTGAACTTCAAAGGAGGAGAGGTTATTGAGAGATGATGGTAGAGGGAAAGAGGAAGTAGCAATGAGCAACAATGAGTATTCTAAGTTTACCACCGCAACCAGAGAGTTAAGGGGTAGGAGTGAAAAGAGTTCCTGATATACTGGATAGTCTCAATATGAAATCAAAGATTAAAACTAAGAAAGACAGAGACAGAGAAAGGAACAGAGAGACAGACAAAAAGACAGACCAACACATATATATGAAAAATATAAAATAACCAATTAAAAAACCCCACTATGCTAGAAAACTCCAACACATAGCAATTAAATACAGCGACTCCAATGACAAACAATAAATTCTATAACCACCCAGGAGAAATACCTTCAAAAATTAAGGAAAGAAAATTAAAATAACATAAGACTATTCTATACTTTCCAGAAATAGGCTATTGTGTTCTTTAAAGCAAAAGAACTCAAAATGCAACCCAAGATGATCTTTGCAACCCTGTAAACTTGAGCCTAATCATTAATAAAAAGATGGACATACAATTTTTTACAAAAGCATTTGAAACATTCCTATAAAGAAAAACAGATCTGACCAGGTTAGTTTTTTTTGCAAACTCCACTTCACACCTCCTCAAACTCACAACAATGAAAAGGCAGTAAAGATAAATAAAATGAGCAACCAAGGAAGGGACAGGAAACAAAATAAGTAACTCCAGGAAAAATAAAACCAAATTTTTGAGAGAAAGATATCTATGAAGTTAACAACAGCAGCAGTAGTAACAGCAATAGCAACATAATAACAGAGGAGGCATTAAGAGATGTCCTTCTAAGAGTACACAAGGAGGCAAAGGGGAAAGCAGAAATTTAATAGAGAAATGGTGATGGTAAAATAGGCTGGAGTTACTAAGGACTCAAAATACCCCCACAGATAAATCAATATATTTGTGGGACTAAACTATAGAGTGGGAGGGCACATAATGTTGAGAAACGAGGAAAAATATGGAGGGGGTTTTGTGATGTATTCTAATCAAGCAAATGGTCAACAATGAAAGGAAAAGAATTCCTATATTCTCTAAAAAAGAAAAAAAAAGATATATAGAAGAATCGGTGAGGTGGCACAGGGAGGGATGGAAACAGTGGACAAGAAAGTGGGGAATCTCAAGTTAGTGAAGGGAGAGTGTCCCAATGAAGAACACTCCAATGGGGTGATAGAAATATTATAAAATGGGTATAATCTGTAGGGATTTGGTGTTTATATACTTCTGACAGTACTGGGTCTCTGTGAATAGTATCTTACCTCACAAGAATGGGAGTCAGAGGGGGGAGCAACTTCCACCCAGAAGAGTGAGAAGGTATTGACCATGTAACATTTCTAAAATAATTGTACTGATTCACAGTTCTACCAACAATGCTGTTATCTTCCTATATCCTTTCTAACATTGACTATTCCAATATTTTATTATCTTTCCCAATTTTCTGTACATGAAATGAAACTTTGGAGTTGTTTTGATTTGCTTTTCTCTTTTTATTAGTAATCGGAAAAATTATTTCATCTATCTGTTAATAATTTGCAATTCTTAGGAACTTTTTGTTCATATATATGTAAAAATGTAATATATAAAATGTAATATATATTTGTAATATATATGTAAAAATGTATTTTGTATTGTGAATATGTATTATCTATCTTAAACCAAAAACTACATCCCAATAGATAAGTAAAGGATATGAAAAAACAAATCTCAAAAGAATTTCAAATTATTAACAACCATTTGAAAGAATGCTCCAAATCATTAATAAGAGAAATAAAAATTAAAACAACAGTATCACCTCATATCCTGCAAATTGACAAAGATAAACAAAGATGAGAACTGTCAGTTTTGGAGGGATTGTTGGAATACAGGGACACTAGTGCAGTGATTCTTAAATTTTTTGGTCTCAGGATCCCTTCATACTCTTCAAAATTGTGTTGCCCCTGCCACAAAGAGCTTTGGTTTTATGGTGGTTATATCTATCAATGTTTACCTTACTAAAAATTAGAATGTCTTGTTATTATGAAAAGAGTTTTTAAATTGTGCACCCCATGAAAAAGTTTCAGGGTGCCCAGACGTCTTTGGAGAATTACTGCTCTAGTGCATTATTGATGGAGCCATATAACTGTTTTGGAAAGCAATTTGGAATTACACAAATGAAGTGGCTAAAATTCCCATATCTTTTGACTTTGCAATTCAATTGTTAGGATAATAATAATAATAATAACAATAACAATAATAGCAATCCATATAGCACTTTAAGATTTGCAAAGTGTTTTACAAATATCTTGTTTATTCTTTCTGGAAGGTAAGTGCAATTATTATTTCTATTTTACAGATGAGGAAACTGAGACAGGCAGAAGTTGTGACTTGTCCAGGAATTTTCGTGAACTGATGCAGAGCCAAGTAAGCAGAGTCAAGAAGCAATGTATATGAGTAGGCCAATGTAAACAAAAAGATCCACCAGAAAACAATCAAAAGTAAATGTTGCAAAATTATAAAGAATAAGCCTGGCTCCAAAGAAGACACCTTCACCCTATCCCTATGGAGAGGTGAGAGGACCATGAGTGGGATACATCGCACATCTTTTTAGATTTTTTCAATGTATTATTTTTGCTAATTTTTCTCCTTTTAAAAATTATTATTTTTTATATTGTATGGCTCTCTGAGAGAAGTAGAGAAGGGAAAATTTTGCTAATGTAAAAAAAAGACACCAATAAAATAAAAAAAAAACACTGAAAGGAAATTCAAACATGGATTGAAAGACATACAAAAGACGTGAAACTAAGAGTTTCACATTTTTAGTGCAAAAAAAAAAACCCCAATAGAGGCAATGGATGACATGATTCTCTAAATAGAAATATTAACAGTGTCTTACACATTGTTACTTAAATGCTTGTTGACGTGTTTAATTTGACTTGGTCTACAAATTATATGAGTTCTCTTTGTAACAACTTCAATATCCTAGTCACATTCTCTTACCTCCATCCAAGAGATTGGCCCAGTATATCACCCTGAATCCTTGGAGAATTCCATTCAAGGCTTCTTTGGCAAGTGTTGACCAGGTTATGGATATGGTTTCTGGTGATGTAGCTATGGCTTGGACATTCTCTGGAGGGTAACTGGGCACTGAAATTAAAATAAAAAAAAGAATAAACTATATTCTAAAGATAAAGATGAAAATGTTGTCATTATTCTCCAGCACAAACACCCATTCTCAAACCTATATAAAATGGTTTTCATATTGTTATCACACAAGTGTATGCCTGATTGTTATTATCTCTATACTTCTTACCTGCTTTATTTTTCAGAAGGCCATTATTCTTCTTATCAGTTGAAGTGAATTTGAGACTAATATATAAGACCTTAATATTGTAATTTAGTATTTTTGACACTCATCTTTTGTGGTATACAGTCCATATTTTGCTGTAGTATACTTCAAGAATTCATACTCTTATCCCACCCCCTCAAAAAAATCTTGATAAAAATAAACTTCATCCTCATATCATATGGATTGTTGTTTTCTTTGCTGTCAGTTTGTACATATGTTTTGTTGGAAAGAGAAATTAGCTGGGCGATTAGGAATTTCCAATAAGTGTCACTTTATTGGAGATACCTCAAAGATCTAGAATTATTTCCCCCCTACCATTAGAAGTAATTATCTTATTTCCCATATCATATTGTGTTTTTGACATTAACACTTTATATTTTTCCAGGAAATGTAGCAAAATTGTTTATTTAAATGTGTATGTTAGTAAAATAAGCCACATATTAAACCCAATGTACATTAAGTATGCTTTATAAACTAGTGAAGGTAAAAGGAAGGGAAAAAATTTTAATATCCTTATTAATAGGAATTCCTCTTCTACAAATACCATTTCTGGTCATTTTGATATAAACAGTTGTTTTACCTCTCAAAATTAGGGCACACATGGTTAATTATATACTGAGGTAATTATAGGCTCAAAATAACTAGCTATTTATCCCCTTTAATATCAAACACCTACTTATTGATATTATTAGCCTGTACATGTCATTTTGTGCCTCAATGTTGACATAGTATGATAGAATGGATAGAGAACTAGCCATCAAGCCAGGATTCAATCCCAGCCTCTGACACATACTGACACTGGTTGTGTGACACTGGACAAGTCATTTAAATTCTCAGGCAACTTTCTAAGATCATAAATTTCAGAAAAGGGTCCACCTGCATTGGTAGAGGAAGTTTCCTCAACAGGTATCATCCCTAAAATTATGTCTTCAGAATACAGCACTAACTAATGTTTCCAGATACTCAATAAATTTAAAAGTTTTATATCACATTTTAGTACCTTATATTCAAATTCTATTTTACTATTTATGATTTGATCTCCCTCTATTAGCTGAATTAGTATTTCCTGAACATCAGAGGGAGATGCATCTTGTGAAGTATGCTCTATGAAGTCTTAGAAAAAAGGAATTATTTTATAAAACAGTTATCAAAAACTCTCTTTTAAAATGGACATGGAGTGTTCTTAGAGCAGATTATTTTCTTACATTCTAGCTAACCACTTTTAGTAAAAGGAAGAGACACAGAACTTCACTTGAGAAGACCCAAATCTTGCATGTTAAATGAAATGGAGCAACTCAAAGAGAGAAATAATTTTGCTTTTGTAAACAAGTAGTGTCAGAGTTGTGACCAAACCACAATGTAACTCTGAGTGAAATAAGACATCTACCCAATTACATACTCCTTTGTCAATAATATGAAGTTATTTTTCTTGCTGAGAAATCAACATAAACACAATAGGTATAAGCACAGGAGAAAAACTAAGTTGGTACTTAAATAAAACAGTAAGATGAGACAAAAATACTTGTTTCTCTTTAGGGAAGAAAAACAATAAACTTTAATACTGGCCTGTAACAGCCAAACAACTAGAAACACATACCATCCTCTAGGGTAGTAGTAATGATTTCCTGAGAAGAAGGTCCTGTTCCAGCCTGGTTGCATGCCTGTACCACAAGGCCATACTGAGTGAATTTATTTAGGTTGTCAAGAGTATAAATTTCACTGTCTCCAGTGGTATCAATGCTGATAATGTTGAACTGGAAGTTGCCTCCTGTGCTATATTCCCGGTAACCTATCTGGTAGCCTCGAATAATGCCATTTTGCAAGTGTTTCTTTGGAGCCTAAATAGGAAAGAAAAGATAATACTCAAAATAGCTAGAGATGAAATCAACACCTATCTAGAACCTCTAGCTTTACAAAAAGAATGAAGGTGAAGTTGTAGCCACCTTCTACAATACTCTTCAATAATAACCAGATTGCTAACTTATGCCTATGTACAGAGTTAAACAGGAATGCTAATATTCTAAGACATTGTTAGTACCAAGTTAAAAAGATGATACTTCAAGAGTTATCTAGAGCACTCTCTTAAACCTGTAGAAGGAATTAGGGGGAATGAGTGATACCTCTCAAGTTTTTGAAGGATTGTTATATAGAATGAGAGTCAGTGAGGCAACAGTGCCTACTTTAGAATCAGGAAGACCTGGTTCAAGTTCTACCTCTAAGACATGCTCTTTATGACCATGGTTAAATCCATTAAACTCTCAACACCTCAGGCAATTGGGAGTTTTGGTTGAATTGTTATCAACATTTGTGGAAGGACTTTTGACACTGGTGTTCCTCAATACGATAAGATCACAAGTCTAGGCTATGCTATTCCCCTATGTGTCAGTCATGTAGAACTGATTTAGACTAGTTTTTCTTCTTCTCCTAGAAGAACACAAGGAGCAATGGGTGAATTTGCAGAGAGGTCAATTTTGGTTCAATGTAATGAAAATTTTTCTAAAACTTAAAGTTGTCCAAAAGTGGAATAAATTGTTTCAGGTGATAGAAAGATTCTCTCTCACCAAAAGTCATTGGGTAGAGATTTGGATGTCCATTGGTCAAGGAGTTTTCAGAAGTTAGTCTTATGTTTTTAAAAGTTAGACTAGATGAACTTTGGTGACCTTTCCAACAACTGAGATAATATAAGATTTTGTTGTACTACACTAATTAAAGTATTTTCAAAAAATATTTGAAGAACTGACATTCAAAAGTTTATATTCACAATGCCTATGATAAAATAGTCTGTTAAGAAAACTGAAAGGAAATACCACTTAAAATAAAAATTATTTTAGCATGACTATTTGTATAAAAATGACTATGCTAATAGAAAATAATGTATCTATTCAGTCAACAGACAGTAATCTATACAAACTATGTCTCTAGAACCATTAAAGATACAGAAAAAACCTTATTATGTAATAGGGGATATAAAACTAACCCCTAAAACAATAGAAGTTCAAAAATAGCAATATCTACATGGTCTGAGATGGTCAGAGAAAATATTATGAGATTTGAGTCAACCAAAGAGAATGGGCAGGATTTAGATAACCCTAGGAAAGGAGGAAGGGAATTCAGACAGCATGAAGTAAATACTGAGATGGGGAAAGTCATAGAATTGCCCCATACTATACCTATCCCTCAAAAAGATAGTTAATACAATTAATTAACTGAATTAATTGAATTAATTTAGTTGGTTAGGAAAAAAAACCCCAAAAAACAAAAACTAAGAATTTCTGGTTTATAAAGCCAAAGTATTGCATAAGTGGGATAGCTAGGTAGCACAGTGGAGAGAGTGCCAGGTCTGGAGTCAGAAAGACTCATATTCATGAGTTCAAATCTGGTCTCAGGCACTTAGTAACTATGTGTCACTGGCAAGTCACTTAACCCCATTTGCCTAAGTCTTCTCATCTGTAAAATGAGCTGGAGAAGGAAATGGCAAACTATTCCAATATTCTTGCCAAGAAAACCCCTAATGGGGTCATGAAGAGTTGGACATGACTGAAATGACTGAACAACAAAAAAAAATTGCACAATTAGTGCCTATAAGATTTGAGGTCCCCCCTTCTCCTACCCCCATGCCAAAGCTGCTTATTCAACTAGTTATTCATTAGTTATTCAATTTATAGAAACTGCTTATTCAATTTGGGCAGTTTAAATATATACTATTGGGGCAACTAGGTGGCACAGTGGATAGAGCATTGGCTCTGAAGTCAGGAGGACCTGAGTTCAAATCTGACCTCAGACCAAACACTTGACACTTACTAGCTGTGTGACCCTGGGCAAGTCATTTAACCTCAATTGCCAAAAAAATATTTAAAACATATATATATATATATATGTGTGTGTATATATATATATGTGTGTATATATATACTATTTATGCCCAATAGCCATTTCAGTGATAAATTCCAAATTTCTAATATGTAATCATTTTATGAAAATCACTTGCTCTTCTTTTATTTTGAGTTTTAATCACACATTTGATATTTTGAGACAATCAGGATATCTTTTTTTCTTTCTTAGTAGGTGAAAATACATTCTCAGTAACTCCTGACTTTCAGGAGCACTGAAGATGTGATTCTTGTTTGCTTGTTTGTGTTATAATGGACAAAAATATGTGAACCCCTTCATAAATTCTTTCTTAGAATCTCCACATTTTCAGCTATGCTACTACTATAACATTACAAATCACAAATTTTGCTCTTGGATATTTAAAAAGCAGTTGCATATTTTAAATTATTCATGCTTTCTCTGTCAGTTAAAAAAATAATAAGCATTTTCATATCATGGGCCTTTAGATAGACCCTGTAATGTATTCCAGCCAACATGATACTTAGTACTGTATAATTCAGTTGAACATTAATCAATGAACCAAACTGTAGATCCTGGGGAATTTAAACATATATATAACAAAGCTGCTGAGCTACAATAAGAGTGGGGCAATTGGAGCTTTGTCCAGTGTACCGAGTTCAAAGAATTCTGAATTAAAATGTACTAATAATACTTACAGTATTTTAGAAAAATGATAGATCTTATTGTTTAGTTAGAAAGTTAACAAAAGATACTCCAGATGTCAAAGGCAATGAGGTGTAGAACAAGACCAGGAGATATAGAGTAATCTAGTTTTGGAATATAGACTACATGAAGGGAAGCAATTCAAAATAAAGTTGGGCAACTGGGTTGGATCCAGATTGCAGAAGGTGTTAAATGATCAGATACATATACTCATACTTTTTTTGATAAATGAGTGAAATGATCATAGCAGTGCATTCAGAAGATTATTCTGGCAATGGCATTCAAAATGGATTAGACAGTGGATAGACTAGTTGCAAGAAAAATTGCTAGGAGGGGATTATGATAGTTTAGATGAGATGAGTACCATGACCTGAGTATATTTAGGTGAGGGTAAAGAAGAGGTGCCCAAAACATATTGGAAAGGTAGAAATTATTGGAATAGACAGCTAAGTGGATATGTAAGAGGAGAGAATAAAGATTCAAAGGTGACTCTAAGTTTTTAAGGCTGAGAGACTAAGTAATATCATGAACAAAGATAGAAAAGTTATGTGTGGGCAGGGAGAGGTGAGGAATTACTTTATTATCACATCTAAGACTCAAAAGTTTTCTAACTGCTACTTTTCATAGTAGTCTAATTACTAAAAAGAAGGATCTTGAACAAGGTTAGGATATTTTTGAGAGTGGTAAATGGAGAATATATAATGTACATTCCAAAGCCACAAAATAATCCTTCTGTTTACAATGAACAGATTGTAAGATTTAGAGTTGGAAGAAACCTTAGAAATCATATGGGCCAATGATAATTGAGATCACTGGAATTTAGACACTGTTTCTTGTAACAGAACACAAATAAATAATGATATATTTAGTCCTCATGCCATGTATATTTCAAATTGTCTTTCAAATTACATATCATTCACGTTTCAAAACTATGCTCATTAAAATCTTTAAGGGTCATATATACTTCAAATGAAAATATACTTCTTTGGGAAGCATCTGCATTTGAGAGGTAGAGTTGTGGTAAATGAAAGGTTTTATATAAGAAAAAGCCAACTAATAAATTTCACACAGTTTAATTTCATGCATTTGTTCTTCCACAAACTGAAACAGAAAGTCTAGGCACTGCTAATATGCTAATTCTAATATTAATCTGTCAAAAAGAACAAACAACAATAGACAAATAATAACCAATTTCCAGAAAATTAGAGAATTAAGCAGCTTTTAATAATAGCATACCATCTGGGTAGACTGGTGAATGAAATAGGTTCTATTCTCTGCCTGAACAGTTAATTAGTATGATTTATTTATCTTCAAGATTTCTTTTTACTAGAGAAGAAAATATGCTGAACATATATTTGAGACAGTGTGGCACAGAGGAATGATCAGAAAGAGTATTGGATTTGGAATTTGAAGATCTGGGCTCAAATACCAGCCCCAAGATAAGAGAATGAAATTAAAGGCATGAAGATGGGTAAGAAGAAAATAAAGCCATCCTTCTTTGACAATCACTTGATAGTTTACTAAGAACTAATAGAGAGAGGATATTATTTGAGACAATAAATTCAGCAAAGTTGTAATCTACAAAAATAAATTCCCCCTAATCAATAGTATTTCTATATGATAATGACAAAACTCAAGAGACAATAATAGAAAGGGAACCATTCAACATAACTATCAAATTAGTAAAATACTTGGGGATTAATCTACCAAAGGAGAAAATACTTGAACAGATTCAATTATGAAGTGCTCTTTAAAGAAATAAATAACTCACCCTACAGGAAAATAGGGGTGTGCAGGGAATAATACAGGGGTGGATGATAGAAGGGAGAGCAGACTGGGGGAGGGGGTAATCAGAAGCAAACACTTTTGAGGAGGGACAGGGTCAAAGGAGAGAATAGAATAGACGGGAGTGGGGTGGGATAGGATAGAGAGAAATATAGTTAGTCTTTCACAACATGACTATTATGGAAGTGTTTTGCAAGACTACACATGTATAACCTATATTGAATTGCTTGGCTTCACAATGAGGGTTGGTGGGGAGGGAGGAAGGGATAGAATTTGGAACTCAAAGTTTTAAAAATGAATGTTAAAAATTATTGGAGCCAAGATGACGATGTGAAAGCAGTGACTTCCTTGAGCTCTCCCCCAAACCCCTTCAAATACCTGTAAAAAAAGATGGCTCTAAACAAATTCTAAAGCAGCAGAACCCACAGAAAGACAGAGTGAAACAAATTTTCAGCCCAAGACAACTTGGATGGTTGTTCAGAAAGGAATATTGCGCAGG